AAAATTCATATCGAGGAGTTGTAAACACCACGAAAATATCTTTAAAAACTCGACAAAGGATTTCCCGTACATACAACATAGACAAAAAAAATAACAAAACCGGTAGCACGATAGTCACCGACCTGAGTGAGGTCACCGCTATAGAGATTATAAAGACGTTTCATTTCACGTCGAAGCGTCGATGCGACCGGTCCTTATCGCTTCACCGGCAAGGTCGAGGCCGTAGTGCTAATACCGACGACTAAGTCATCATGTCATTCAGATATCTTATATAATATGATCATATTTCCCAATATCGTATTCAGTTAAAATGGCTTACTCTTCAAAAAAGGCGTAACTCTAGAATTCTGTTTGTTCTTTTCTCGATTCTAAATGATCCAGCTTCTCCGTGTTACCTTAAAGATAAGTTTAAATTCCTTTCGATGGACAGTGAAAGAGATCTCCGTCCCTCAACCAATCTTAAGATTGCTATCCCTTCTCACAATACCAGTTTCGTCAGTAATTCCTTCACTGTTCAGGCTGCACTGCTCTGGAACTCCTTGCCTAATGACATACGTAGGGCCCCTGACAGGACATCATTCAAACGCTTGGTCCGTGACTTTTACTTGAATGACTCAGTATAAACTAGAATGTGGAATGTTATCATTGCCACTACCGTTTACTTATATATATATATATATATATATATATATATATATATATATATATATATATATATATATATATATATATATGTATATTTATATATGTATGTGTTTAATTATTAATTTTATGTGTATATATTGTATATTTTCAATACATATAAATAATTGATATAATTATTGCACCTACCAAGATTTCTCACCACGCCCCGGGTTGACTGGGAGAGAATGCCAAAAGGCATTAAGTTCGCCCTTTGTAATCCTTGCTTAAGGTAATTGCAATAAAGAATAAATAAATAAATAAATATCCGGAGATTGCCTCGCAGTCAGTTGCGCTGAACAATGACCCACTTATAATAAATAACCTGAATCGCTTATTTAAGAGAGCTTGTTATTATTGATTGACAAATAGAGCATTAGACACGAACAACCGTAGCAGTATTAACATATGCTTTTCTAATTTAATTTGTCAAGACGTGTTTTATGGGTGATACTATGATCATTATACGAGGGTTTAGAAGAATTTTTTAAACAATTGTTCCACCATTTATTGTCCATGTTTTCCCAGTTTATTATTCAACGAAGAAAGAGGATTAGAAGAAATGTTACATCACAAGACCAAGTTCCTACTTCGTTTTGCTTTTCGCATAAACCTATCGGCTTTAATTGTTTTTCATTATCTTATTCCAATTCGGATACATTGTTAAAAGGATAATCAGGAAATAAATATTTTAGCATTGGTTTCGTATACGAGAGACCTTGTTTTAATCAAATAATTGTCAAAGTTGTTATTATTTATAAGCAAAATTTTACTTGAAATTACATATTTTACATAAACGGTATTGTGGCCTTCGAGATACAAGTTTCGCTTTTGACTCGACTCTCGCATAGCCTCTAAATTAAATATTCTGTTAAATTCCATCGGCGTATATTTAACTTTGAAATGATGTATATTTTATATTGAATTCTGTTATGACGTTTCCTCAACATTTCACTGTTCGCTTGTGTTTCGCACGCTACATGTAGGCGGAGTGTTGTGACAAACTCACCCAAGGGGGCGGCCTGGGTCCGCTTTTGTACCCATGTAAGTCGCCGCCTAAGACGAAGCAAGGCGATGACATCATCATTCAACTTGTATGTTTACAGTGTTGAAGATCTCTCGAGAGCCTTCTCTCGTCGGATTTCACAAAACCGTGAACTTGTACGGCGTGACGGGCAAATCAACAAGTTCATTTCGATAATTCATCCAATTGTTACCGATGTATTTGCTTGTAGTTATTTAATAAACGAGTCATACATTTGAAAACGCAACTTTGTCTACACTTATAAAGACGTAAAATTTATTTGCATATATTGGATAATTTCTAAAACCTACAGAACCGCTTTTGAAATCATGTATTATTAAAAGCTATGATATAATTGTATATAAAAATTTGGAAGAAACAGCATACAAACGGTCATAAATTCCTTGGTTGCCAAAATTAGTATCGTCTGAGAATTTAATATTCATTTCTACGAATTGTTATAAAGAAAATTTCACTTAAGTCGAAAATAAAGATAGCTGTGAACTTTCCTTCACATACAAAATAATATTGAACATTTCCTTTCAAAAAATTGACTAAACAAAACAGGACCATTAAGTTATTATATTTGGAAGTGAATAAAAATTAAATATTAATGATGCATCATAACAAAATCATTTATGGCATTTGAATTATATTATATTTGAATAAGAAATACATATGGTTTTATTCATGAATGCCATATGTGGCCATCAAATAGAAAGTTTTTAGTTTCTTTTTGCGTACGACATTCGTTACTGACACGGATGTACTTATTTGCTAACACCTCGATACCGAGGAATTTCAGTTCACTCCAACATATACAGAACATGCACAATGCAGGAATATCTAATCTTTACAATTAAAGAAGGCCAAAAGGAAGGAAATTAGACTGAACCTAGCCTTGGAATAAATTGAAATGTAAAACAATACAGAAAAAGACGAAACACTTGTAACTGTTCTCTTTAAGAAGCGAAGAAACCAATGACACTAAAAATATAGAGACGAAACTCTAGAATGCTAAACAGAAATTAAAAGTGTAAATTGTACAAAATACGGTGGATTACAGAACGCCTTTAAATGTTTCCGGTTCGCGCCGCCCGCAGGTTTTCTTCTATCGATTTATAATCAGTAATCCGGCGCACTACACTCGGATGAGATTATATCGGAGTAGGCGTAGTTCCGCATCGCTCGGGTCATTTCGCAATGCAAGAGCGGGCTATTATCGAACCGCATTTAGACCAGAAAGCACTTCAGCGATAAAACAACGCAGACACGGGGCGGATTATCTCCCGGAGAGCCCAGGAGAGTCTATAAATGATTGTTTGCGTGCGTACAAGCATGCGGATGTCTAAGGTATCTATCTGCTTCTGATACCCTATGACGACTTTAGGCGACCAGCAGAATAAACATTCACATCATATTTGTGTATTGTTTATTTCAACTGGGAGAGTGGTTAATCTGGTGGTATGTGGGGATCGTAGCCATCAGAAATTTAACGGGTGTGTTGCTAACTATATAGCGTGTGCCGTACCTTTACCACCGGCTACCTCAAAAAACACAAAAGCATAAATATTGTTGACTCCGTGACGCAGTTGCCAAGGTATTGGCTTCGGCGTTGGGGGTCGTGGGTTCGATTCCCACACGGGACAACTATTTGTGTGACCCACAGATAGTTGTTTCGCATCTGGGTGTTTGTCCGCGTGAAATTTTATGTTTTTAAAACGTCCCTACAACACAGGATAATGTTATCCTAAAATAAGGGGCAATATTTTTTAAATAAAAAATAAAAAAATTGTTGATTCTTGCAGTTTTTCTTGGAATGTGATGTATCGCTGGGCTAGTCTTTCTATCTCCAGCGGTAGAAGCTGTTATGTAAGATCTTCTTGATCAACCACAGAATCCGATACAGGCTACGAGGCGTCGGGTATCACGATTTCTAAACTGCGTAAACGAATTATGACTCTAGCCTATCCTCTGAAATGTTATTTGCACTTTTCGTTTTCTTAGGAATGTTCACAAAATCCTTTTATCGAAACAGCCTGAATTTTATGTCCCTTTAGTATGAAGGTTACCATAACGGAGGTGGACAGGACATACGTCACTAAAGACGTGGATGAAAAAAACAGTCCTTTTTTATTTCTAAATTCGAAGCCGGTCTCGTCCCACGCCGACGACGTCCGATAAAATGGGACTTAATTAAAAGCACCGCTATAAATGGTGTTCCGATAAATATATTTACCAGTGTAAGTAACTCATGACGATGTCGTACAGTGTGTAGGCATGATTCGAAAATCTTTTATTGTGCTCTCCTTTGTACGTCATCGACGCTAGAAACAAATGTATCTTTAGAACACAAAGCATATGACGGAAAAAAATGATCGTACGAGGTTCCACGTCTAGGCCCGTAACAGGTGAGACATACAGCGGATGCTAACCTAATGCTGTTTTTAAAGGGCCTATTGTTTTCATCAGAATCACGTTTTTTTGTCTAAAGTTTCCAAACGAGCAGACGGTTCACCTGATGTTAAGTGAAAACCGCCGCCCATGGACATCTGCTACACCCGAGGGTTACAGATGCCTTGACAATCAGACTTAATGAATATATGTTTAATATAACACACATCAAGTGATTTTACATGGATACAAACTTTTGGACATGTTTGTGAAAGCACTAATATCAACGCGGCTTCTAAGTTAAAACTTAAAGTTTAGTTTATATTTACAAAGCCAGTAATTTATTTATTACTAATAAAATAATGACTAACCTTTCTTTCTTTGTTGTGAACTTTTTCGGTTTATATACTTGGGCTAATAATTTTGCTTTTATAAAACAAACTTAGAACACAAATTCTAATTAAAATAGGTTTTATACAGTTTCCTTGCTCAAATCTGAGAATGATACTTTTTTGATTTTATATACGGCAGGATAATTTTCGATCATATATCTTCTTATGATTTTCCTTATTTTTTATTGTAATTCTACTTTGTGCAAAACCGTATCGGCTATTTTAATTATTATTATTTATCCTCATGTTTAACTTCATCGTTTCCAAAATATAATTGAAAATCTTTTTTATAATTTGAAATATTTTCACCAGTTCCAAATAAAAAACTCAAGATTATAAATATACACTATTTGTATCACCCTTAAATAAAACCATATCGACTAAAAAAAATCGCTTAATACCAATTTCCCATCCGAAAATTAATGATATTTAATATTCATTTATGGTTTGTACGAAACTGAAAACCTTATTAATCAATTGTCGTTAAAAATGAAATAATAGAAACCAACCTGATTATTTTTGGCGGACTGTCCATGGTACTCGGGCGGTTTATCCACAACAACGGGGGACTCCATATTTCAGTTTCAATAAAAAATAAACAAAAAATCTATCACAGATGCACTTCACTTCGATGCGTTGTTATCGTGGAAAATTGTCGCACAGATCTACGTACTCTAGCGTCTCTTACAATACTGAGTTGCACGCCACATGTCGTTTGTATTTATACATACGATGAAAACGTTCGGGAAATGTCTAGATGCTTCGAGAGAGCCACGGTTGGAACCGCCTACCACTGCGTTCGAGCGTCGCGATCGCAACGAAAACGAGTCAGTCCATTGGCGACTATATGCAGGCGTCTGGTTTAAATTCAGAACACTCTTGATAAAAAGCAGCAATGTACAACAGATACAATAAAGTACAACTAGAACGACAGATCGGCAACCACGCGTGCGCTGAACGGTTTCGGAACTTTCGAGAAAAAATTTAAAAGCCATTACCGAAGAGACTTTGACAAGGGGTTTTAATGTTAATATATTTTTTAAATAAAAGAAAGCCCATTTAATATTCACAACACGTAGTTAAAGCCCGTCTCGTTATATTTTTGTGGAAATGCAATGGTTGTGTAGCGTTTTTACAATTCGGATGCGGAGTATTTATTAATCGATTACAGATATCGAAGATTTTTTTGCAAATAAAATGATACAAATTATTTTATTTCGGCGCCCAGGTGTGAATCATTTGTACAATAATTTATTTACATTGCTGACAAGACAATGCCATTGTATTCGTATACGCGTATTTACTCGACCCTAGCCTTAATGAAAATTTCGACGTGCCGTATAAGCGATGCGGGCAACATTTATGTTTCGTTAATTCGATACAGACTCTTAAATTACTTAAAAGCAGTTAAAACTATATAGTAAACAATGTTAAGCGTGGTATTTAAAAGTTTTAACATTAACATACATAAACATTCCAGTTAATCAGTATAAAGGAAATGTTTAAATTATTTATGTTTACCCGGAGATCAAGGTACAAAATAATTAATGTAAGCAATATTGAAATGAGATTTTTCGATTCTACTAGGATGTTATTTTTTAGGAAGTATATTTTGGTTTAGAATTTGCATAGAAATTAACTTAATTTTTTACCGATATAAATTATTAATTTTCCTTTGCTTGCATAAAGAGCTGCTTGTAGCAAAGTTATTCTTGTAGTCTCCTTTTTTTTTAAAAAAAACATTGCCCTTACTTTAGGATAAAACTATCCTGTATTGTAAGGACGTTTTACAAACGTCGGACAAACACCCGGATGCGAAACAACTGTCTCCTTGTTGTTATATTACGTCGAAGGGTTGGGTAAGCTTAAGAAGACTGTTGTGTGCAGTCATGTTTCGCCGAGTAGAAAACGGGAACCATCGAGGAATGTTATCCAGACGTAGACATCTGCCTCCATTTACGAGGCCAAAGCTCTCAATGCAAATCGATAATTATTCTGAAGTTACTTATAATTTACAACAAAGAAGACTCAGCGCTATATAAACTATAAAACTGATCGATACGAGACAATTATGTACTCATAACCATTTTTAATAAAATGGAATTTGATATATTTTAATTTAATAATACACGATAATCAAATCAAGTGAAAAAATGTGTTTAAATTAGCTCTGTCGTACACAGATTGTTTCGTAACCTTATTCAAAGCTCCACGCTAAAAGTTACTGCTTCACCATTATAGTAAAACTAATTGTCGCCTACTCATTGGAATACGGTCTTGATTCATTTATGTTTAATGAACTACGACCAATGGGCGACCAATAGTATAGAATGCTATCGACTTTGAGTACTGTACGTGAACGAAGCAGATCAATTTGTCTGGTTTCTACACACTTTAAGCACCACAGCGGCTGCCAGTAGTGTCGAGAGTATAAACCACAAAGTTTCAGAAGGAGTGAACTTTTGCCAACACATTACGCAATAGTAACTTACAGTTACGAGTTATGAGAGTAACAGTAAGTTATTTTTGCGTGATGTCTTGTTGAGAGAGAGAGAAATCTCTACCTACAATGTAACGTTTGCCTAAAAAGTTTTTATTAAAATTTAGGAGCTTTGAGCTTTACTTCCAACTTGATTATTATAATAATAATGTAACTCAATGTTAATTTTTTTGTTACAATGAGCAGTTGTGATAGTGGGTCGTTTAGAAAACAATGCACATTAAAATCACCGTAGGTACCTAGTTCGAGTTGTATGTAAATCAACAGATTGAGGAACCATCACATTCGAGACCAATTAAACAATGGCCCAATCAAACTTTGTCGGCAGTCTATACTTTATTTAGAAAGATTTAGATTTTGCGTATGCCTGTTCCATAATATGAAAATGATCACAGCACATTATCACGATTACATTGCTGCTGCAATCGCACAATGACAGGTGCAAAAAACGCATATTTAACGATCATCTTAATTATGTTTAAGCACGGCTCGTTAAAGCAATAAAGTACGTAAATGCGTACTCGATGCCCCCCGACTCGTCGGCGCGGTACTGATCGACCCGACGCGTCTTTCCGGCGCCATTTTCAATGCGCATCACTGCGTTTACTTTATAATAAAACGAAGACATCTGTGATATTTTATCTGTGGAAGGGCCACACAACCATTTGTTGCACGAATGCGCAGGCTCGTCCAAAGAAGTACCACGGCGTCAAGAAGACCGACGTGATACAAAAGTATTTTAATTTTTGCAAATCCAATGCATCCGCAAGCCATCGGGTATTGTTCATATCAATGGAAGGCGGTCATCACTAAACGTCAGGTGAATCGCCAGCTCATTTGACAACGTTGAAAAGGAAAAGCACATTGTATAAAAACATATTCAAAGGGAGGGGCATTTGGATTTTGTATGTTGTATCAACTGATGTTAACACTTTCAGTCCCGAGACTATTAAAGCTTCATCGAACGCAGAACCGGTGGGCTAGCCTGAACCCACGGGTTTGAGGCACAGTCGGTAGGGCCGCGGACGTGCTCATGCGTGCGTTAGCTAAGGACTTAAGGAGTGTCGCCTACGGGCTATCGAGGTTTTTGAAATGTTCGCGAATCATCGGTAGTCTGCAGTCACTGTGCAGGTCGACGTTGCGTTGATACCAACCACTGCGCACCGGTTGAAATTGTTTTGAACGAGTCATGCATGCGTAGGACATAATAGGTCGTACGCAGGCCTTATATAATAATAATTTCTGCCTTAAGGGCATTTTACTGGACGCACTGGACTTGGTTAGGTCGTAGTTGGTGGAGAGCCGGCCGGAGACGAACGCGACTCTGTTTCCAACAATAATATTACGAGTTGCATGGTGAGTCGAAAGTGACGCCTAGATGCTTGACCTTTTTCTTCCAGGGTAGTGGTTGGCTTTGAAGAGAGATTTTCCCTAGCTTTCTGTTCTGGCGAGGGCCTTTATAAAGTTGTGACGTATAAGTTCGAGAAAAATGAGTGGCCACACTTATGTCGGGGCTTACTTCTATTCTCCATTTGCGAAACCAATCACGGAGGCGATCGGCGGCGATTTGGAGGCGAGTAGTAAGTTGAGCATTTGGAATATAGAGATACGATAGACACTTTCTTTACTTTTGACATTAACTTTCTTTAATTACGCGCTTCTTGTACCTGTTTTCTTCGGAATTACGGTGACACTTAAGCGGCGGTGAAAACGAAACTAGCACTTAAATTTTTAGGTGTCCCTTAAAGTTAGGAATCGATGGTGAAAACGGGCATGACGCAATGAGCTTTCAGGCAAATATTATCGTATCCAACTTGAGAATTAAAATCTTTACATTCTGATCTACTGCTTTATATTGATTGATTGAATTATTTCCTATAAACCTATAAGTTTAGACGTAACTATTTTTTCATATGTCGAGCGCAGATACAAAATATATGTCTCATAGGTCTACGTTTGTCTCTCGGTTTCTACTGTTTTTGTTTTTCATGCGAATACGAGCGTTTTAAGAAGATCGATATTGGTCTAAAGATAATAAAAAGTTATAGATGAACGTAAAATGGTTCAGTATTTCAGCATTACGTAAAACCTGTAGTCTTAATACACTACACATTCATTAAGAACCTTAGCTCAATTTAGTTGTTTGGAATAATCTCCATGCTATAAAATATATTAAGGTACGGTTACTATCTAATACAGTACTGTTTTATCTCAGTGTTGGCTTTACTTATATCCTAAAACGGACAAACAATTTTTATCTGTTTACTTACTGTTAAGCAACAAGTCCATATTTATTTAACGAAAAACAAAACTGACTTCAAATATTTCGCTCTTTATTCATTTTATAATTGATTTTCAGGAGTTTCTTTATTTGCTAATAAATAGGTACAGAAAATATTTTGTCTTGTTATCTTGTTGTTGTCACAAATGTCAAGCTAACAAATTTAGCTGTTTTCCCTAAGTATCTCCGGAGCCCAAGATCCAATACCAATAACTTTAATATTGGACCACATCATGGGAAGAACCAGCTTTCAAATAGAGAATCATCAAAATCGGTTCATTAAGCCGAAAGTTCTGACGTAACAAACATAAAAAAAATACAGTCGAATTGAGAACCTTCTCCTTTTTCGAAGTCGGTATAATATTGTGATTCCTTTATCATTGAAGTTGACCATTGTAAATTAAGATTAAGTGCTAGTGTTGGAAAAAGTATTCTTGCGTGGTACCTCGTATTTAATAAACGTGCATTTGGTGTGAGCACTTCAGTACAACATTTTCATCTAAGTCTTAGTAAAACCTTATTATTCAGTTCAAGAATAATTGTAGGCTACGATAATGTGGATTGATTATTTGGGTTTTATAAAATCCGATGCGGTGAATACGCATGGTAACGATAATAACACATTACATAATTATAAAATATAAATCTCGAAACAAAAATCGAATAATCTCTATAAATATAAATTTCATAAAATTATAAAATATAAATCTATTATTGTGTAGTAAAAGGATTTTATTAGCAGATATTTTCACAGTGAAAACTACTAACCTTGAACATTTAAAGACATTAAGGCA